ATGAAGAACCTACGCCATATGTGAACGAATCTCGATCTGAATCTAGCTGCTCTCGAGAAAAAAAAATCGTCGAAAAAAAATTGTCATGCTGGGAAAAAAGTTTCATTTCTCTGCGACCATAGAGAGGATGTTTACCTTTTACTCGCCATCTGTGATTTCCAAATAAGGAAAAGAATGCATTAATGATAATTTGCATATCTAGAACGGTAACAACAAGTGCGCTGAATAAGACAGAGGGAACATTCACCGACGAACTAACAGTAAATATTGCCGTATTTTGATGCTGGTGGGCATGGAGGGAGGGAGAGAAAGGGAAGGGAGGAGGGAGGAGGAAGGAGGGAAGAGAGGGGGTTGTGGGAAAGGGGAGGAGAGGGGGGGGTAGGAGAAAGGGGAGGAGGAGGAAGGGGGAGGGAGAGAAAGGGAAGGGAGGAAGGAGGGAGGAGGGAAGAGAGGAAGGAGAGAAAGGGAAGGGAGGAGGGAGGAGGAAGGAGGGAAGAGAGGAGGTTGTGGGAAAGGGAGGGGAGGGGGAAAGGCAGGAGAAAGGGGAGGAGGAGGAAGGGGGAGGGAGAAGAGGAGGTAGTAGGGATGAGAAGAAAGAGAGGAGAAAGGAGGAAGCAGAGAGGGAGGAGGGAAGAGAGGAGGTTGTGGGAAAGGGAGGGAGGGAGAGAAAGGGAAGGGAGGAGGGAGGAGGGAAGAGAGGAGGTTGTGAGAAAGGGGAGGAGGGGGCGAAGGTAGGAGAAAGGAGAGGAGGAGGAAGGGGGAGGAAGAAGAGGAGGTAGTAGGGATGAATAGAAAGAGAGGAGAAAGGAGGAAGGAGGAAGGAGGAGGGAAGAAAAGATGTGGGAAAAAGGGGGAAAGGGGGAAGGCAGGAGAAAGGGAAGGAGGAGGAAGGGGGAGGAAGAAGAGGAGATAGTAGGGATAAATAGAAAGAGAGGAGAAAGGAGGAAGGAGAAAGGGAAGGGAAAAAAGGGGAAGGGGGAAGACAAGACAAAAGGAAGGAGGAAGAAGAGATAGTAGGAATGAGCGGAAGGAAGTGGAAAGGAGGCAAGAGAAAGGAAGGTAGTGAGAAAGGGAGAAAGGATATGTGAAAGGGAGAAGGCAAGGAAAGGAAAGATAATTAGAAAGGGGTGGAAAGAAATAACGGGGGGGGGGGCAAAAGAAAGGGAGAGAGTAAGAAAGAGTAAAGGAAAAGGGAAGTTAAGAAAGCAGACGAAAGTGCCAGAAGAAGCAAGAGAAAGAATAAGTAAAGAAAGGAGGGAATAAAGAGAAAAAAGGAATACAGAGAAAATCTGAAAGAAGGAGATAAGAGAGACGGTGATAGGAAGGGGAAAAGTAGGAGGAGGATCCAGAGGGAGGAAGAACTGACCAAAAAAGCGAAATATAATAAGAAGGCTGGAATAAGATCAGAGGGCAGAGTGTGACCAACGAAGGAGAGGAAGAGGATGATAGACAGAATAAGGGTGTCAAGGCGAGATAATGTACATGTAGATGGACGCAAGAGGCAAGAAACGAAAGCATATATATATATATATATATATATATATATATATATATATATATATATATATATATATATATATATATATATATATATATATATATATATATATATATATACATATATATATATATATATATATATATATATATATATATATATATGTATATATATATATATATATATATATATATATATATATATATATATATGTGTGTATATATATATATATATATATATATATATATATATATATATATATATATATATATATATGTGTGTGTGTATATATATATATATATATATATATATATATATATATATATATATATATATATATATATATATATATATAAATATATATATATATATATATATATATATATATATATATATATATATATATATATATATATATATATATATATATATATATGTGTGTGTATATATATATATATATATATATATATATATATATATATATATATATATATATATATATATATATATATATATATATGTGTGTGTGTATATATATATATATATATATATATATATATATATATATATATATATATATATATATATATATAAATATATATATATATATATATATATATATATATATATATATATACATATATATATATATATATATATATATATATATATATATATATATATATATAGAGAGAGAGAGAGAGAGAGAGAGAGAGAGAGAGAGAGAGAGAGAGAGAGAGAGAGAAGATAAGGGACCCGAGGTGAAACGCACCAACACCCACATCGACCCCCCCCTCCTCCTCCCCCACGCCTCGTCGCCCGTCAACGCCGCGACGCACCGACGTACGACCGCCCTCTCGTAAACGGACGTTCCGCTTGTATTTGTCAATTAGACCCGCTGTTTGTCGGTCGTCTACGAGGCTCTCCTGGTGGGGTTCTTCTGAGACATTTCGGGGCATTGCTGACGTCGGGAGATGTTGAAATCTCTGGTTTGTTCTCTCC